AGTTCGATGCATCTCCGAAGTTATGCTGTGAAATTCAAAGCCAAATAAAATTCATGCGACAAATAACTGTGCATGTCTCTCGCGCGACTTCGGAGTTCGCGCGATTTTAGTTCATGCGCGATTTCAGTGCGCGATTCTCATCGTCGCGCGATTTTAGTTCCGCGCGATCTTAGCACGTTCGCGATTTTAGTGCGCGATTCTCATCGTCCCGCGATTTTAGTTCCGCGCGATTTTAGCACGTACGCGATTTTAGTGCGCGATTCTCATCGTCGCGCGATTTTAGTTCCGCGCGATTCTAGTTCATGCGCGATAATCGCTTTTACGCGATTTTCACTGCGCGCGATTTTGGCTTTTGCGCGATTTTAGTATGCTCCCCTACGGCCGAGCTCTCGCTCTGGCAGGAGAAGCCTGGAAGCTCAAGCATCCGAGTTTATCGGGACCTCCTCGTCGGGCTCGGTCTCACTGAGAGACTATCATAGGGCCGAGGAAAGGCGATACTGGCAGAGAGTGATTGAGGATGGATCAGGGATAGATCTCTGGAGCTCGCGCGAATCTCCCCGGCTTCAATCATGAGCTCCGTAGAGAAAAATATTGTCGTCGACAGACAATGTTTCCGAACGATACGACCGTGGGTAGAACGAGTCTCGCTCCGACCACGAGCTGCTGAGCGATTCTCCGACTCCTACGGGCTATCACGGCAGTAGCGAGCGCCAAAACTGACTCGGAGATTCAAGAACCTACCGGAGGCTGCTCCTTTACGACAGTGAACACCGCCGGAAGTCTCCCTGTCTGGAAAGAGAGGGGGGATGTGATTCGAAACGACTAATCAAGGATTGAATCCGCGATCGGATCAACCCTGCTCATATGCGAATCATTCACTAGAATTAAGGCATGTAGTAGGATGAGCTCCGATGGCTGATATACGGGTGAGGGCGAGACCCTGCGCTCGATATTGGCTCCATTCCGGAGAGGGACCATCGAAGACTGGAATTATTATTCTTTTATGTCCGAACAACTGAAGATCCATCTCTAAGCCGGACATTGACAAACCCTGAAAGAAGCGTCCCTTGAGCGCCTCGATCGTGACCAGATGAGCCATCATGAACGTCTGTTGTAACATCACATGGATTTTCGATGGACCCCCAGGCTCTATCTACTACGATCGTATTTGGGTGCGAAGAGAGCTTTCGCCTGAAAAAGTCCTTCATAAACCACGGTCTGTTTCTGAGCGGCTTGAATAACTTCTATCCCGCGGTTCGGGGTTCATTGTCAAGGTTCGCTCAGCTCGAGAAGAGAAACTTATTCTGGCGATGGCGGCATGTGTCCGCACCCCCTCGCCACTCAGAAAACGTATAAAGAGTTGGAATTCACCGAGACAGATATCAGTTTAACTTGAAATCTCAACCGAAGATGAACTCTCTCGTAGGTGTTCCTAACCGACATCGACCACTGATCTGATTGTCGGTGTCTGTAGTGATTTGCGTAGGTTCTACCTCCCTCTCGGTTTATCCAGGGCATAACGATCGTGAATCTCAGGTACTCGTCGCCTTCGCCGCTCTCGTCGCTGCCGCGTCCGCCGGCCACCTCGGTCTTGGCTACGGTCTCGGATACGGTCATGGAGTGGCCCACGTCGCCCATGTGGCATCTCCCATCATCGCCCCGGTCGTAGCTCCCGTCGCAGTCCATCACGGATACGCTCGTTCCCACTCGTACTCGTCGGCCATCAACCACGGCGCTGTCGTTGGCAAGGCTATCGCTCCCGTGGCCGTCGCCGCCCCCGTTGCAGCCTACGGTATCGGACACGGTCTCGGACTCTACGGAGGCTACGGATACGGACATAAACTCTGGTAGACGCTCGCGTTCGCTCCTCGAGATCAGCTCACCAAAGAATAAATTGAAAAACTAATCCAAGAGAAGCGGCGCGCGCAATTCATTCGATGTGGGCAGCCGAGCGTACGCGCCAGGCTCCGCTCTACTTTTTTGTCGGAGCCGGGGTCTTGCACGCAGAAGCGCTCGGCTCGCAAGCGACCGCGATCGTTATTTCCTCTGGCTCTCCTTGTTACCGGGGCGTATCTTTCCGTTGTCGGGGAGCTGAGTTCCGTGTATTATACGGTCCGGCTGAATAGACAATCGTGGTAAGCAAGGCGCTGCTATCTTTCTCAATCCCCTCGCTGTGTTTCCTCACAACAGCCCAGCCGAGCGATTCGTTGTTCGTTCCCTAAGAGGCTCCAGAGGGCAGTTTCGGTGACGTATGGTATCTGATGTAGAGACCGAATTCGCATCCGAGCTAATCGCTCAGTCTGTTACGTCCTAGCTACGACTCCATCTGAAGTGTTCAACACAGAGATATCGTATCGTAGAAGCTCACGATTCTACGAGTGTTCTCGGGGAACGCAGAAATGAGCATGTTCGATAATGACCATTCCACCGGCCAGACGACTTTGATTCCACCGATCGCAGTCGGGCTCGAATCGTCGATCGACGCATTCGCTCGTGTGAATTTCGTCGAAGAGTTCTCCTCTCTAGTCACTCGTGACATTCCAGAAGTCGAAACACGAGCGCGACGCTAGATGCCCGGATGGTCGCAAAGCGGTATTTCAGGAGTTCAAGGAATGCGAGTTACATTTATGAACGTTCGTTTCCGGAGCCGACTCAGGAAAACTTCGAAAGAGCCTCCCTCTCCACCTGGTTCTCCCGCAGGATGCGGAGCTCTGCACGAAGGGCTCGCTGTCGCTAGGGCCGAACATCGATTCCGCTCGAGGAGCCTGAGATCCGCTAAGGCCGAAAATCACGAAATTTCGAAATCTCGAGCTAACGGCGGGGAATCCCATTCGAATGGATTTTCCAAGTGAATGGGGAGGACGCAAAACGGAACGCACGTACCGCAGAACGTCCACCCCACCAGGAGACGAAGAGAGGTTGGGGTCGATGTCCGCCGACGGGAAGTACGGAACAAGGGGGATAGAGTGGGGAGGAGGGCACCGCGGCGCTCAGCCGCGAATACGACGACGACTATATCGAGAACGACGACCAAGAGCTCCTAATTGAATCCCGGTTGAAAAGATCCCTCGTCGCCGCCGCGCCCGTCGTCTCAAGCGGCCGCACTACGCAGAGACATCCGACTGACGGACGACGACTTGTATTTAGGAAATAACTATCCACCGCGATACCTCCCGTGCTCTTGAACGGGACGCTTTCTCCGGAGACCTCGACGGGAATCAAGGAGAGCTCAGGAGCGATTCCGATCTCTCGATCGGAATGAGTCCCGGGGAAGGGGGCGGAGGAATCATCAAAAGCGCAGCACTCGATTGAAGCCCCTCGAAGCGGCAGCCAGTCGCGTACTGAAGAAGAAAATACTGACGGATTCCGATCACAGAACATCCGAGTTTCTGACTCATCATTAAGGCTGAAAGGTTTCTACATCATGTCGTTGACGCGAGGTTTTTATTGAGGTTTCTGGCAGCGCCTGCGACCCAGACTTCATCAAGCTATAACAACGTCACCCGCCCCTGCACCGGAGAGACGGAACTTTTAGCGAACCTGGCCTCGAGCTAAGACAAGGCGCTTTGGGGAAGTTTTGGAGAATTGTGTTGGAACGAATGCAGAAAAAAGCTCAACAACCACTCCGAACACCGGGCTTTAAAGTTCCGGGTGAAACTTTTTGCTTAGCATGCGCTGCCGCCGTCGGAGAGATTTCGTCGTCGAGTGGCAAACACGGCCGGAAGAAGACGAGACGGCGCGTTTGCTCGCCAGAAGCCGACAATATTTTCCGCAAAGATCGTGTACGCTGCTCGCATCCTGGGAAAGAGAAAGCTAAACATCACACCCTCCCTTTGGACGTATCGATCGAACTCGATGAATGATACAATCGATGTCCAGACTCTTGGAGAGCTCCGAAAATAACGGACTATTCCTCGCGGTCCGCCTAGTTAAAGCGGTACCCGAACCACCGTCTACAAACCCACTGTTTTCCCGGAGAGTTCAACATGTCGTAGTACCCTATAGCTAACAGGAGCCTGGTCGAACCCATGGAGAGCATCGCTGGATTGGTGCTCAGACACGAACCACCCCACCCGACCGACTTATCTGAGCCCGACCGAGCCACCTCGCCCTGCTTTCGTAACCCAGATTTGTGCTCCGAAATAGGGCGTCCCACTCTTGCCTCTCGAACTGGGTTGACGCTCTCTACACGAAGGTCACAACTGGGGCACTGCGCGCTATAAACACCATTGAGTGGATAGATTCTAGGTCGTGTTCTATCTCTAGACGATGCTGCTCCCTCCTCGCCACCATTGAGCTCAGTGAGTCGATCACTTGACCAAGTGTGGTCGCTTCCCGACAGAGAACAATCCGTCCGTTCACGTATCTATCTCGATGAGTCAGTATTTACACGAACGGATTGCCACCGATCGACAGCAGCCGGTCTTCCCGTGGAGCTTTCGCTATGACGGTGCGAGCAGAAAACTCAAGAGACGCCCTGCCTTGAGTATTCTCCGTTCATTTTCAATGAACTCGGGGGAGGCATTAGACCGCTGTCGGAATATGAAGTTCTGAATCACGAATTACAGGAGGATGGATGAATTGAATCGTGCAGCAGATAAGGATCGGAATGACTTGTCCACGATTCTGAAAGTGCTCTCCGTCAAGCGAGGGACATCGAAGTCGAGGGTCTGGGCTCCATTGACATCCCGATCCTGTTCCTGCCCTTTCGTCTGGCTCGTTGACGCTCGGAATCGGGGCTTGAGAAAACCTCGCCGAGTTTGGAAGTCTGCAGACTCCAACTCTCCCACGGATAGAACTACGCCGAGAGCTCCATGAATGAGATGGATAGAATTAGCCCATGGCGGAAGACCTGCTTGAGCTCCAAAGGCATATCATCGATGCACTTGTTTGCATTTGCAATGTATCATGATTCAGAATGTCGTTGGGGGTCAACTCTCTTCGACCTTACACCTGGTTTGAGAAAAGAGGCCGCTCGATATGAGCCAGCAAAAACTTTCTCCTCCCCATCCTTATTCGACTGGGCGCCATTGCTCTTCGAGCCAGGGGACCCCAGCGAAGCTAAAAAAAGGAAATGCTGGCGACTTTCGCTTTCCGTTATGTATCACAGCCGGAACCGGTGGGCCTCAGTGGGCCCCGAGGACCCCAATCCGTTCTCAGGTAGAAATCACTCTTTAAACCTGGTTAAACGGACTCAGAGGCCTATTTTAAAACAAGCGTTTTCACCTTGAAATTTCAAACACTTTTCGACGCTGAGGTTTCTCAAAAATTAAGACGCCCACGCATGAGGTCCCCCCGCTCCTCGCCTCAACTCCCGATCACCCTCTACGAAGCCGCCGCATGCTCTACGAGAATACACCTGTCCGTCTCCTTCAGGAAGTCCACAGAGTTCCCACGAAATGCACTGTCGTTCCGCCAAGCCACCACCCGGCAGACAGAGAGAGCCTCTCAGTATGTGAGCCACAGGAACCGTTGAAATTCGTGAGAATTCCCGAGGTTTGTCGAAGGTGAAAACGACCTCTACGAGATACGTTTGAATATCGGACAAGGCCCTCTCGTGAGGCCTTGGGCAAGGTCAGAGGCCGGAGGTCAGCTAGAACGCGGTCACTCATCGAGCTCGGTCCGGCCTCTGAGGTCGAGGACACATGTTGAGACGTTGCATGACCCGTCCGCGCTGCTGACGAGTACATTCGACTCCGATGCAGTAATTAAGCTCCGTGGTAGAGTGGACGTCAACTGGATGAGCGCAGAGATGCCCGGAAGTCGAGATCGTGGCGCATAATCTTGTTCTCGACCCGCTCACCGCGGCACATTCGGTAGAAAAAGATAGGGAAAGAAGTCGTAACTAACATTGATGTCCGCTGCGTTGCTTGCTGAACGACGGAATCCCGCCCCTCCGAAAGCTCACCCGAAAGCCCCGTCACTCCGACCGTCGATTGTTCTAGGAGTTTCGACCATTCGAGTGGAGAATGATATGGGACCTTCGTCAATAAGGGGGTGTTCTGAATGAAATCGATGATGTGTTGGAGTCAACGAACCCTCCATTGAATGGGCGTTCTCGACGTATCCGTACGCCCTGTCTGGCATTCCTGTCTCTCGCGGAAACAGATCCATAACATTGTCGTACTCTCTTGTGTGACAAATGTACGACGGATGAGATATTTACACGCGCTCGATCGCCGCGCTTTTCCGCAGCCGATTCCCTCAATGTCACGAGTCGATGCGACGATAATGAGAGATGAGCGAAGCTCGATACGAACCCAGCGAGAAAGACCTTCACATAGCTCCTATGATTCACGAGCCGCTATTCACGGCGCTAAATTGCGAGAGATAAACGGGCGGAATAAGAAGGTCGCGATTAACTTTCTATTCAGCTCGCATTCATAGATCCAAGGCCAAATGAGAGTGACCTCCACGGGCATGAAGAAGGTTCTTCTTCGTGACCTCGGCCAAACCTTCGTCTGAAGGACGCTGAAGGAGGACAAGGCCGAGAAGATTCTGGTCAAGGATGTGCGAATCGCTCGCTTCTCCGAGAAGACGCGGCTTACTCTCGGAGCTTCGCCGCTCTCAGAATGATCTCTGTCCAAGCTCTGGATTCGATGAGGAGTTCCGACACATCGTTTGCCACGTCGAGAGCGGCCGGTGTCATCTCTCGCCGGCGGAACTTTATCGGGGGGTTCTGACACCGAAGATACGTAATCGGCGTCGCTATGAGCTCCCCGGTGACTTTGAAAATGCCTGATTCTCTCCCCGAGGATCTCTGGGGCCGGATGACTTTGGAAATGCCCGGTTCTCTTCTCCGAGGATCTCTGGGGCCGGATGAATTCGAGTCTCGCCGATCAGGGGAGGGGAATTCTTCGGAAGCGGTCAGAGTGCGATGACTTCCACCTGATCGAAGAGGGC